ACTTGTTCCTGTGCCCAGTATGCGTGTGCCAGGTCTGGTGAACGGTGAGGATGGTGCAGAAGAGCACTTCAGCATGGAGGAGCTCATCCGAAGGGCACTTGAGGAGGAGGGGATGAGCGACGGCGGCGTTGTGGAGCGCCTCGCAGAGAGGATTGCGAGGGGGCGAAGGCCGTCAGGACGGCCGAGGGCGTTGAAGCGCTTTGAGACTGCGCCGAACTGAGCAAATTCTGTTTGTATACTTCTATCTGGACTGCGTGGTTGTGGTTCCGAAATGTTTGATTACGATGTAATTGGATACCCGTGCCGCTGTTGTATTACTGTACTTGTTGGAGAATGAATGTATCTAGTATTAACTGAGTGGGCTTTTCGCTACTTATGATAGCTCCGCGCCTTTGAGAGGCTGCGCACGCTTAGATAAGATCTCGAAATCTCGGATCCACCAGAATCAACTTGAACTGAACTTGAAAGTTGAGTCTAGGAATCCAGAGTCTACGTAACCTGAATAGCGCTAGCGAGTCAATACTGGCGGGGAGGATCTCTGCAAAAGTACGTCGACCACTTACCATGGTTTCTTGGTGTTGAGTATCAATGATACTGCAGTCAGGAATTCGGTTTCAGAGAAGCTTCTCATTGTACCGTGACGGTCACGGTAACATTGTGGCCGAACACCGTCATACTGGATGTATGTCTGTTTTGTCATTTGTTCCAAATAATCACGACTCTCATACTGGCACATAGGCAATAGTTCTCGGTCTGAGACCGATGTGCTCAGTGGTGGGGGTCGGCCACATCCTCGGGCAGCAAAGGGCGGGATGGGTCTGAGTCCGTCCTCGCCAGTGAATCGCGGTCTGCAGCACCCACAGGAGCAATCATCATGCTCTGTCGGTAAGGGACTGCTGCTCGACGACGACATCGCACTGTCGTGACAAATCGCGCAACCGTGTTTACTTCTGTCAAATCCCTGCTTGTCATCGTGGAAAGGTCGGGATTAGCAAGCATGCTGGAGTCAAAATATATCAAGAGATGCATACAGCATCTCTTTTTCCAAGTCCCAGTCTCTTACAGAACACAATTATCGAGCTTTTATGTTATGACGTTCCCTAGCAAGACCCGCGAGTATCGTTCGCTCAAGGTGAGTGTCTCGCTAGCGTTCGTACTGATTTATCTGAATACCAACAATATATTAGAACGATGGCATACAGCAACCCCGACTAGAAGAGAGCACAATTCCGGCGCTCAAAGCGTCAGAAGGTCAAGGTTCACGCCGTCTCCCTTCAGGTAGTTAACGTTTTCGTGTGTGTATGACCTCTCTGACAGTCTCTCTTTAGTTTCGCGACATCATGATTCTCAAGGGAATTTACCCGGTATACGTTAAGGAGAACTTGGTACTCGGCTCGGACCTCGGTGGCGAGGTCGTCGCGGTTGATATCGAAGTTCACGACCGGAAAGCCGGCGACCGCATCTGCGTCAACTTCGGTGTAGATCATCTCTATGGTGATCCAATCGAGGCCACAAGGTATTCTCACCTTGGAGCTCCCATCGATGGCGTGTTCACTGAGTATAAGGTCCTTCCTGCTCACGTACGTTTGTCCAATATGTCCCGGCCGTGTCGTGATCATTTATGTCTATAGTCCCTGGTACGGATCCCGGAGCATCTTTCCTATGAAGAAGGATCTACACTTCCGTATGTATCTCTGTACGGAGTAATGATTATATGTTGACAGGCGTTCTTCGATAGATGCGCCGGTTGACCGCATATAATTCGCTTATGGGCCCTGTCCCGCTCAAGGGAGGAGATACGGTCCTCATCATAGGAACTGGTGGCGTATCCATCTTCGGGCTTCAGTTCGCGGTTGCATCGGGCGCCACGGTTATAATAGTGTCCTCCTCTGATGAAAAGCTCCGCTTCGCCGAGAAGCTGGGAGCGAGGCACCTGATCAATTATAAGACTGTGCCCGACTGGGACAAGGAAATCCTCGAGATCGTATGTTTCTCTTCTGGTAAAATGATTGTGATGCTCATGGCGAAGATAGACAAACGGAAAGGGCGTTGATCACGTTCTTGAGGTTGGCGGCACTGGTACGCTGGCCAGGTCTCTAACATCAGTGCGCTATGGAGGTGATGTTGCCGTGATCGGGAACCTCACCGTGGTGAGCTTTGTCATATCTTTACCGCTACTTGTCATATACTTATGGATTATGGGGAATGACAGGAGGGTGGTGACACCAGTCTTCTTCCTTTGATGGTCGTCCTTAAAGCGATCCTGTTCCGTGGCATTACCGCTGGCTCCCGTACCCAGGAGGCATTTTCGCTTCAAGCAATAATCATTGATGCTGATGAACTGGGCTAGATTTGAAGCCATGAATCGTCTCATATCGGCTCGGTCGATCATCCCCATCGTTGATAAGGTCTTTCCTTTCGAGCAGCTTCATGAGGCGCTTGCATATCTGGAGAGCCAGAAGCATGTCCGCAAGGTAGTTGTCAAAGCCTCTGAGAACTGATAGGGCTTTATTATGATGTAACTTCATGGGTTGATTTGTACTTTGCATGAACGTGATGTATGCGGGCAGATGTATCAAACCTTGTCTTGCATGCAGCACGCACTCGATCTCGTCCATGATTTTGACCATGTCCTATTGACTGTAAAAGCAGACGAGAATGACAAACAAAAACAACATGCCCATTGGCTGGATTGAACAACCGACCTCACCATACCAACTTATACGAGTGGCGCGCTCTACCACTGAGCTAAACGGGCATACAAGTACAACTAGCTTTAGTATTGATAGCCAATAGGCATTTAGCGGTTCACACTTTAGTGAGTCTGATGCTGCCCCACCTTGTACTAGGCACACACTAGCGAACGTGAACTTCAGCGAATCTCGCAAACCCTAACTTATAGCACTGTATCCAGCTAGCCGCAGCGCTAGCTAATGTCTCCCCCCCGACTAACGCTAGCCTACTCGTTACATTAGTTAGACTATTGGAGCTATAGCCTACATAGGGCCACGCCCTCGAGGACTATAAACGAGATTTACAAACAAACTTCAGCGAGTACTTTGTAGCGCCGCACCCTGTGGCAGAGACTTTGTTCGGCAAGACAAAAAGCAACCGGCAAGCAGTGAGGAAAGACAGTGGGGAGGCTCATCATAGCAGCAAATACGCAGGTTCTCGCCACATAGCCTAATAATAGTACTGGCTCAGTCTGCTCGGCAGGTCCCTATGCACCTACGCCGGGTGGCGCACGTTGCTAGTCGAGGATCCAGAGTGGGAGCATTTATGGCACAGTTTAGTTACGCATTCAAGAAGTACCTACGAGCCGCTTCGTGCATGTTTGTAGCTCTCTTTTACAGATTGTGGGTCGTTCTAGTCAGAAGGTAACAGAAGCAGCAACCTGGGACATGCGGGAAGGGAGACGTTCTTGGCTCTGGCCCTCGCGTCGCTGCTGCGTAACAAGTCACTATGTGACGATGTCAAGGATTTTGATGCTGAACCTGCGTGTGCAAGACTGTTAGACACAGCATATCGTCGCGCATCTATGTGGTCACTGTGACTTCGATCGCGTCCCAGCTTTAAGGCTTGATTACAGCGCAGTTGGCATTTATCCGTACCGATGCCGTTCTGTTTTGAACGCTATTAAATGCATCTTTACATCACAACGGACTTCCATACATACATAAGCTCTCCGCCTCCTCGAAAGCGCCACGTACCTTGCTCGCACCTCTAATGGAGCAGATGGCGATGTATCCAACAACTTGTCTATACATTTGAAGGTGCAGCACCCCCAACGTCGCGTCGTCAGTTGCAGGAGTACAAATGAAGTCGTTGAGGCTGCCACGCTGCGACAGTCAATAACTGTCAGTCGAGATGTAGCATGACAGAGACACAGCATCACCGGCGTGTACGGGGTATAGGTTAGGTTGACACACTGAGCATCCCTTGCTGTAACGGGATCAGCCTCTGGTCAGAAAAGGGTAGTATTTATTTATATTGCAGGACTTTTCAGGATTGCACACTACAAAGGGAAACCTGACATTGAAATCTAGCGTACATTACTGAAGTGGTAAGAGCCTTGACTCTGCTTTCTGAGCAAAGAAGAGTAATACGAAGTGAAACAAGAGGGAAATTTGACTACGGATAGTACCATGTGTGGCCATTGTCCGTCTTCACTAATTACCTCCAGGGAACCTTACTTCTTCATTTTAGCTCTGAAGGTTGTAGCCTTGGCTATTCGAATCATTATGCTCGTCTCGGTCCGAGCGATTCACCGTCTAGCGAGATTCGCGTCACGTCAGTCATGGCTGTATGCACGCAAGAATATGTTAATTAAACACGATACATTCGAACACATGTTCACTTCGTTAGTCGTAGCACAGCACCGAGGGAATACAGACGCAAATGATGCATACACGAATACTCCATTAAGGGAACGTCCCAAGCGTACTCCATATCACTGGCTCAGAATCGTCCGCACAAATGATTCGTAGTTGACATTCCCATCTCTAGATATATGATTAGACGAATGTTGCGAGACACCGCATGGGTAGACGACTCACGGGCCGATTGGTACTCCCTTGAGCAGTTCATCCACCTCTTCGTCTGTCATCTTCTCCCCTAGCTGCGTGAGAACATATCTTAGCTCTCCCGCACCGATGAAACCGTTCCCTTCCTTGTCGAACACTTGGAAGCCGCGGATGAACTCCTCTGCGGGAGATTAGTACAAGACGGGGAAATAAAAGCACCAAGAGAGGCGTAGTTAGATTGAGACAGCGCACTGCACAATTACACGCGTATGGTACGCACCTGGAGTGCCCGCGGGCTTGAACCCGTCTGGTCTGTTCAAGACCTTGAGGAAGGTGGGGTAATCGACTACATAATACGTCCGACCGATCACGACAGCAGATAGATGCCGCAATAGAATTAAGTCAGAGACGTGTAGTCGGTGTCATGGCTAGAATGCGCACCTTCTCTTGGTGCTCCCGCAATAATCTCCGCGACTTCTGCTTGGGTTGGATTTTGTCCTAGAGCGCGCAGCAGATCCCCTAGTACTTCTCGTTGGACCGCACCCGTTCCCTTCTTATCAAAGAGCGCAAATGCTTCCTTGTATTCTGATGAAGCATTGGCAGAGAGGAACGCTGAATACAGGACAACGAAATCACAACGAAATATGTACCTGCGTTGTCGCTCTGGCGATTATCAACCGCGGCTGCAGTTCCAAAAGAAGGCTTCCACTCACCATATTTACAGTCGGAAAGGTTTTGAAGTGCTGGAGAGGATGGAGAGCGGAGCGATAGAAAGGCGATCGTACTCGCTCAGCCAATCCATATCAGGTCGCGTTGCTCGGCAAATGCCGCAAGGACTCTCTTCGTAACGACAACTTCGGTGTTCTTTCGCGCGTATACACTCTGTTATTACCTTACCGCAGACTTTGCTCATCCATCATCGTGGGTCCTGAGCTCATTAAAATATTGTGAAGGCGTTATGGATAATAAATAATATGAAACCCCAATTCATATTGTTATAACTGCAGCTGACACCGTCGATGTTTAGTACGAGCTGAGGATGAAGGAAGTATCTAAGAGTATCTACTCTGCTCACAGTAGACTGCGTGAGCTCCACTGACATGACAGCTATGCCTCAATTTAGGGAAATACTCCGCAGGGTGCTGATGTCGTGGAAGCATACATATTGCAATTGGAACGCCTGGCTTATGCTGAGGTATCGCCCCATCCCTCGTGAATGGGCTTAGCTAATTACTATAGTGCGTAATCCCTGCTGGTCGTGTGGTACAATTTTACGCGAGCTCTCCTTAGAATCGTAGTCGCTGCAAGTACCTACATCAGCAAAGCAGGAAATTATCTGTACCCTGATGAGTTCAGAAGCGATTTCAGCAGTCCAGCCGCTCAGCTGCCAGAACCTTGTGTAAGCGCTCTAACATGCCGGCATTTCAAGACATGTACCCAGGTGTGCTGTGCACCTACAGTCATCGTAAGTACCTCAATTATGCTAAATCATGATGACAAAGAACTCTGCGTGAAATTCTCGCGGCCTTCAGCTAATCTGCGGCTGCTGCCAAATGGTTCCAGAGGTCCAGAGGTCCAATCAGCAATGCCTCTTTTGCTGATGTATCTGGATTCAGCGGTTTCATACCGCCACATTATAATCAGCAAGGAGACAAAGGTATGGTATTTTGAACCATTATGTAACAGACTCGGGGGCGTAATACTTCCTCGCGGTAAAAGTGGGCTTTTCACTTCCGGGCGGTGTTCTTTGCTTAAATGCAGAGTCGCCACGAACTATCCTGCGCAATACAACTTTACACTGAGGGGGGTTTATTGCTGCCAGTGTACGAAGGGCTATGCATTCGAAACCCCCCCCCCCCCCCCC